TTCAGGCCGTCGTAGGACGCACCATGGAGGCCTATGTTGACGACATGATCGTGAAAAGCAAACAATCTTCCAGCCATGCCGACGACCTCCGAGAAATCTTCGCCATCATGCAAAAGTTCAACCTTCGGCTAAACCCGAAGAAGTGCACCTTCGGCGTCCAAAGGGGCAAATTCTTAGGCTACATGGTGAGCCGAAGGGGTATTGAGGCCAATCCCGAGAAGATCCAGGCCATCATCAACATGGAGCTCCCACGCAATGTGAAGGAAGTTCAACGGTTGACGGGCCGTCTGGCAGCCCTCAACCGCTTTCTATCTAAATCAGCGGAGATGTCCCTACCCTTCTTCCAGATCATGAGGAAGATGGCTGGCTTTCAATGGACTCCAGAATGCCAGGGGGCTTTCGACGAGCTCAAACGATATCTATCTTCAACCCCTGTGCTCTCCAAACCAAAGGTAGGGGAGACCCTCTATCTCTACCTTGGGGTCAGCCCGACAGCCATCAGCTCCGTGCTCATCCGGGAGGAAGACGGCATCCAATATGCCATCTTCTATGTAAGCAAGACCCTAAGGGAGGCCGAGCTCAGGTACTCTCCTGTGGAAAAAACGGTGTTAGCCATCGTTTGGACCGTCAAGAAGTTGGGCCACTACTTCCAGGCTCACCCGGTTCAGGTCCTCACTCATCAACCCCTCGGCGCCCTCATGAGGAGCCCCACCAGCTCCTCCCGCATGGTGAAATGGGCTATCTTCTTAAGCCAGTACAACATTGACATCCGTCCGAGGCCTGCCATCAAGGGCCAAGCCCTGGCGGACTTTGTGACGGAGTGTACCGCAAGGGCAGCCACGGACGGGGAGCCCTCGGCTACCTCGGACGACTGGTGGACCCTCTACACCGACGGCTCCTCCGCAACCAAAGCATGCGGGGGAGGGGTAGTCGTCATTACTCCCGAGGGCTTCAAAGCCTACTATGCAATCCGCTTCTCCTTCAAAGTCTCCAACAACGAGGCTGAGTATGAGGCCCTCCTATGTGGCCTTCGGCTGGCTGCAAACATGAAGGCTCGGCAGGTCCATATCAAATGCGACTCAAAGTTAGTCGTTGGCCAAATCTCCGAGGAGTATGAGGCCAAGGAGGGAAGAATGAAACAGTACAAGGAGGCGGCCAAGGAGTTGCTTAAGGTATTTGAGGCACACTCTCTCACTCAAATACCGAGGGCTCAGAACTCCGAGACCGACATACTATCTAAACTCTCGGCCGACTCCCCCGAGCACATCTCTAAGATTGCTAAAATTGAGGAACTCAGTCTCTCGAGTATCCATGCAAGCCCCGTCATGAACATACAACAACGCCAAGAGGACTGGATCTCAGATATCATCACCTTCATCTCCACAGGGTAGCTACCCGAGAATGAGACCCGCGCTAAACTAGCAAAACTGAGGGCTCCTAGCTACACCATCGAAGACAGAAGGCTCTACAAACGGTCCTACAACGGCACGCTACTTCGGTGCCTTCATCAAGATGAAGCCGAGGTCACAATGGAGGAAGTGCACAGTGGCACTTGCTCAGCTCACCAGGGACCCTTCTCCATGTCCCGAAGGCTCATTCTCCAGGGCTACTTCTGGCCAACCATGGCCAGGGATTGTGCTGACCTTGCCCGAAGGTGCACCGCATGCCAACATTTCCAGAAAGCCCCCGGTAGGCCAGCGGTCAACTATGCCCCCATCAGCACATCCGTCCCCTTCGCTCGATGGGGCATAGACCTTGTGGGCCCTCTGTCGAGGGGTACCTCCAACAACAGGTACATCATTGTGGCCATCGATTACTTTACCAAGTGGGTGGAGGCTGAGCCCCTCGCCAGCATCACAGAGGCGAAGTGCCGTCACTTCGTCCTCAAGAACATCCTCACAAGGTTTGGCGTCCCCCAGCAGATCATCTCCGACAACGGAACACAATTTGAGGCAGCCCCCTTCTGTGCCCTTCTGGAGGCATGGGGCATCAAACATACCTTCTCCTCCGTTGCCTACCCTCAAGGCAACGGGCAAGTAGAGAACGCCAACCGGACCTTGCTCGAGGGCCTCAAAAAGAAGCTGGAAGCCGAGGGCGGTGGCTGGGTAGAAGAACTCTACAACATCCTTTGGGCCTATCGAACCACCCCTCGGCGAGCAACAGGTGAAACACCCTTCTCCCTCTGCTACGGGTTTGAAGCCAAAGCTCCTACGGAAGTCATCCTTCCCACCCGGAGGGTGATCCAATATGACCCCGAGGTCAACGACAACAACATGGCCCTCGACCTCCACCTCCTTCCAGAACGACGGGAGCAAGCCTTCATCCGGGCTGAAAATTACCGAAGGCATGTCAAAGGCTACATCGACGCCAAGGTTCGCACCAGAGAATTACAAGTGGGGGACTATGTCCTCCGGAGGAGGGAAGCCAGCCAACCGACCGAGGGAGGCAAAATGGCACCAAAATTCGAAGGTCCCTACATCATAGCAGCCATCATCAAACTCGGGACTTACAAGCTCAAACGCCCCAACGGGAAAGAGGTCCCTAGGCACTGGAATGTACACCACTTAGTTAAATTTTATCAATAATGTAAGAGCGGTCAAGCCCTCATAACTAGTGGATGTACTATCCTATGGCCCAAGGCCTCCAATTTTGAAGAATGAAGACACATTCAAGACACCAAGAACAACCGCAAAACATTTATGAGCGGCCAAGCCCTCATACCAACTACAGGCCCAGGCCTCACCACGAGAAGAACCCCCTCCGGCACCAAGTGCCGAGGGCGGACACCATCAGCACCTTCAACAACAGTGAAAACACCAAGTGTTTCAAACAAGACCCCTCGGTACCAAGTACCGAAGGTGGGGACTCCCATCACCGGCAAAAGGAAACACCAAGTGTTTCATTTCAAGACCCTTCGGCGCCCAGTGCCGGGGGTACTCATCTCCACCATCAACATCAAAAAGAAGAACACCAAGTGTTCCTACAGAAGACCCCTCGGTACCAAGTACCAGGGGTACACATCTCACCCATCAACGTCAAATAGAACAAGAACACTAAGTGTTCCTACAGAAGACCCCTCGGTACCAAGTACCGGGGGGCTACATATCGAAACTAACACCAAGTGTTGTTTCTAAAAGCCGTACCCCACGAGGACGCATATACCGAAGGCGCCACCATCGGTGCCGGCGGCACGTAGTGCCCCCGGCCATTTGCAACTAGTGTGCAAATGAAAACCCTTCCTTGAAACGCTTTCCGCGTCACTACCCCCAGGGTATGACAGACATGAGAAATGTCCAGGATTCGACTTTCAAAAACGGAACGGTTTCCGCGTCGTCACCCCAAGGGTATGACAAGACAGAGAAATGCCCAGGATTCGACTTCCAAACCGAAACGCTCCCTGCGCTACCACCCCAAGGGTGTGGCAGGCCACGGACTATGTCTAGCGCCGAGGGGACGACTTTCAAAAATGAGGCGCTTTCCGCGCCATCCCCCAAGGGGAGGCAGGTTACAGACCACCATATCTTGTGCCCAGGAAACGACCCTCGATCCCCTCGGAACTCGGAAGGTCAACCCGAGGGAGGAGAGCCATTGGTGTATTCTGATGGTCTCCTGATAGGCCCAGCCTTACCAAGAAACCAAGTTTCTTGATGCCTCCCCTTCACCACCAACCGAAAAAAAAACAGAGGGGGTGAAGGGGAGTAGACTCATCGAGAAATCAATGAGTACAACACTCCAACAAATCACAGCATACCGAGGGCTCCCTACGGGAACACCTGCGGTAACTGAAGGCTCCTATTTCCCGAAGGGTACTACTCAACAATACAAAGGGACTGGACTGTCTCAAGTACACTAAACGGCTAAGTCCACTTCAAATAAGTGCCGAGGGCACCTACCATCGGTCATCCTTTGCCACCGAGGGGTCCTATCCCGTAAAAGGGGATGCAACTGACTAAGGCAACTCGACAACCCTTCAAGTGAATGTCGAGGGCACCTATATCCCACCAGCATTCACTACAACATCAATGTCCTACAAATTTTCCTAAGTCCACACTTTTGGAAAATGACAACAGTCGGAGGCATCTATTACTAACCGAAGGCTACACAAGGAAGCAACACTTAGAAAATTTTCTAAGTCCTGAAGATTGAGCCCCCGGCCTGATCAATATTTCAACTGAGGGACCATGATAGCCGAAGGCTACTTGATGCAACAACACTTAGAAAAGTTTCTAAGTCCTACATATTTGGCCCTCGGTCAAACATTCACACATCAGGAAAGTAGGCTACCAGCCGAGGGTTTCCAATGGGGAACTGCACTTAGAAATTTTTCTAAGTCCTAAGGATTGGGTTCTCAGCCTAATCATCTCACAGCAATTGAACTACAAGCACCCGAAGGCCCTGTGGTGTGCTACACTTAAAAGAATGTTCTCACAGTCATCCGAGGGCTCCTACTACATACATGCTACACTTAGAAAAAATCCTAAGTCCCAAATCTCCCTGCAACCCGAGGGGTCACACGATTGAAGGCTTGGTGGGCTACACTTAGAAAAATTTTCTAAGTCCTAACTTTTGCTGGGCCCTCGGTCATACATCTAGCAAAGGGTGCCCAACTACCGAAGGCTATGACTGTATTCAAACACTTAGAAGAATTCTCTAAGTCCTAAGCAACTCACCGCACGAAGGCTACACGGAACCAGAAGGGAAGATCATCCAGGGGCCAACAGATGAACAAACACTTAGAAATATTTCCAAGTCCTGAACATTGTGCCCTCGGTGAAAGGTTCAACTGACTAAAGATTTCTAATAGCCGAGGGCTACAAGGGGCAACGTACTTGGAAGAAAATATTCTAAGTCCTAGACATACATTCAAAAAGGGCGAAGGCATACACTCAAGAGAAAACGACGGCATACATTCGAGAGGAAATAAATTAAAGAAAGCAAGTCAAATACACAAGGCCCGAGGGCTAACATTCATCAATCATAAAAAAGAAGAGTAAATGTGATTGTTACAATGATGGTCGGGGCCGAAAGCATAAGAATGTGACCATTACAAAGTGTGTTCCATTTACTAAGTACAGATTACAAATCAACAACATCATTCCCGGGGGCCGCCTCCTCCGATGGCTTCGAAGTGACCTCTGCATCGGCCTCAGGTTCGTCACCCTCGGCTTCCTTCCGGAGCTCGGTGTCCTCCAGGTCTGGCCTCTCGACATCAGAGGGGAGAGGAACACGGATGTCTGGCTGCAGGGGGGAAGCCCGTATGCCGCCGGGTCGAAGTCCTTCGGCTCAATTTTCAAGTGGCGAGCCATCCTCCGGTAGATGAGGGCTTGGGTGAAAAACTCGCCCCCATCATAATATTGTTTGCCCTTTCGGGCCATCCATTCCTCTCCCGGGCCCTCGCACCACTCATCGACTGAGGCCTCCACAACCGAGGACAGCCACTCCTTGTGTCCCTCGGCCTTCCACCCCCCATCCAGGAACCCGGAGATGGCCTCCTCCCGGGCTGTGACGACAACCTTCGCTCTGACGGCCTCGGCCTCCTCGGCGGCTTTCTTTGCGGCCTCCGCAGCAGCCTCCTCAGCTTTGGCTTTCTCCTCCCTAAGCCTTCCGGCCTCCGCTCTCGCAAGCTGGAGGTCCTCTTCGAGCTGGGCCATCAGCTTCGTGGCCTTGGAGTCCTTGAGAATGAGCTCCTTCATCTTTGCGTCTTGCCCAGCTTTGTGGAGACGTCATTCCTCCAGCCGTCGGGCCTGCTCTCCGAGGGCAATGCAGGTCTGCAAAAATAAAGGAGTTAGCAGGGCCGAACATGATTTCCTAGTTCGAAGTAAAGAAGAGAAAGATAACTATCATAGACTTACCGTGAGGGAAGACCGGAGGATCCTGTCCTCGAGGGCTTGGTCATCATCAGCCCCGAGGGCTGCCCTGTCAATATCGAGGGTTATACCTCTCAGAAGCGCCCTCGGGTCAGCTGTGCCATTCAACACGGCTGTACCAGCCGGGAGGGAGAGCGTAAGGACCTCGGGAGATGGCTCCCGGACACCCCTCGGCACCTTCGCCAACGGCATCTCCTCGTGCACCCCGGAGGCGGGGCAATCATCCACAATCACCACCGAGGGGTCCTTCTTCGTGGTGTCCCCCTTCTTCGGTTTCTTGCTAGCCGGGGGGGATTCCTTTGCCGTTGTTTTCCTCTTCGCGGCAGCAGCATCGCCCTCGGGCTTCTTGAAAAACGCACCGACGGCCTTTTGGCCGCCCGCGTCCGACCCCTTCGGATCCTTGGCCGGCTTGTTCTTGAATCGAGCAAGGCCTTTGACGTTCATCATATTCACTGGGATACCTGCAAAAATAGTATGGGGTTAAAATCGAGGGGTTACTAACAGAAGGCACAAGAAATAAAAGAACAAACAGATAAACTATGTGCTAAGATATGAAAATGAGGGTGCCCTCAGCCACTACCTCCGGAGGCTCCCTCAAACACCGGGAACTTCTCATCTGTTTTTCCCAGGAAGCGGTACCGCCAGAACCCGAGGGTGTAGAGATCTTCCTCCTTGGTGCACTCCTTAATGGTAATATTTTTGTCCCGGCCCTCCGGGATCGTGGCCAGAATCCTGCTGTCTTTCTCGAGGGTGGCGCTCCTCCTCTTCTCGTGCCTCCTGAAACGGTCACGCAACTCCCTCGGGAAGGGGCTCTCGGTCAGCTTCACGTAGCACCACCGGTCCTTCCACCCCTTGTTCGAGGAAGGCGCCTCAGTGAAGAGCTTGAACATTGCCACCTGCTGCAAGTTTGCGAAGCCCTCGGCATTCGCATGCCCCCCCGGCACAGATTGAAGCTCTGGAAGAAGAGGTCCAGGCTAGGCGTCACCCCCCGGGACTTGCAGAGCTGGAGGAAGCCAGTAATGTAGGAATGGCTGTTCGGGGTCAGCTGGCAGGGGACCAGACCCACGAACCGGAGGTACTCCCGGAGGAAAGGGTGCAGGGGGAAGCGGAGCCCCATGGACACCGAGAGAACGTGCACCGCAATACAGCCCTCGGGAGCCCGGGAGAGGACGTCATCTGGACCCGGTGTCACTACGATGGCCGAGGGGCCCACGTGAAGCTGAGTGACGTAGATGTCCGCCGCATCAACCTTCGACCTTATTTCCAAGGCGGCAGTGTTCAGGCAGGAGTACCCCTCGGGCATATCAAGGGGCTTCCCTTGATCTGCAACGCTGCCCTTCTTCTTGGGAGCAGCTACCTTGGCCTTCTTCTTTCCGGGGGCCACCCGGATGGGAACCGCGTTCAGCGGCCGAGAGGTGCTGGCCTCACTGGCACCCCGAGGGGGAAGGACGACCACGGTCACCCTCGTCCTCTCCTTTGCTTCCTCCTCCTCTGCAACCTGCATGGCGAGGGCCAGCTCTTCGTCTTCCACCTCCTGCTCGAAGCCCTCGGCTTCAACTTCAGCCAACAGCTCCTTCTGCACTTCTACTGCCATCGCGACATCCTCCTGGGCCGAGGACTGTTCGTTTGAGGACTCCACATCCGAGATGACTTCATCCTCCATCGAGGGCGCCCCCGAGATGTCTTGAGAATCACTCTGTGAAGACATTGCTATACTACGTCGAGGGTTCAGAGACACTAAGTACTCTAAGCTACCCACCTAATCTAAGGCCACAAAGACAGCTAGCTAAGAGGTGAAGTGCGAGTGGAGAACTGACCTTAGAATCTGATCGAGGGCTGCTGTTTCTCTCTCTAGAAAATTTGGCAGAGCTTCGCTATAAGGATTTCGCACAAGGGGAAGGAAGCCCGACCATGGGTATTTATAGGCGCTGGAATCCGGGCTTGGGCCTGGAAACCGGGCCTCCGGATGGACTGTCATCATTACACGCCGTGTCTTCGCCCAACCGGTGACGCCGCCCACGGACAGCCAACCATCACGCGCCACGTGTACCCCCCCAACGGCTATATCCTGACGTAACATATTCCAACGGTTATATTTCCAACGGCTATATTCTGAGAGCCCCCGGATTTTCTTACTTCACTCCACTTCATCAAGGAGAGCCTCCGGGTACACTTACCCAGAGACGCCCCCGGGTTGTGCCCCACACAGTACATAACAGTCGCCTTCGGGATCACTCCTTCAGAAGCCCAAGGCTTCATATCAGGCCACCCCTCGAGGATTTCCCCTCAGCACTGTAAGGGCCGGGTAGCCCCCGAGGAGTATGCCTCATTGACGGATAGCCTACGGCACACAGGTAATGGGAGCCCTCGGATGTCCTCATCACCAACTAATCAACAAGCAGGGGACACCCCGGTAACAATTCAACTACTGCCCTCATCCATCACGCCCTCGATCCCCAGGTTGAGGGGCTCCCCTTCGGCACCTCCCATGACATCAACGACAAGCCTCCGGCTACTCAACACATGAGCCCTCAGAACAAGGAGAGCCTTCGGCATTACCGTTATTCTCCATTTTGGACCAAGGTTTCACATTTTCGATTCATCGTTGGGGGAATTCGGTGCACTCTTTTTCCCTCATTAGGATTTTTTCCCACAGGGTTTTTCCTAATGAGGGTTTTAACGAGGCATCCCCCCAAAATGAAACGAAAAGCGTCAGCCTTCGGCCCGCAACAACAACGCAACTACTTCACTCCTTTTCACCACTTTACAAGTGCCTCAAGGAGTGGGGGACTGGAGGACCCCCCCCCCCCCCCCCCCCCCCGGGAAAATCATTAAATTACAAAATGGTGAAAAATTCCAACAAACGGCAAAGCAATCCCTCAAGTCCCGACATGTGGGTAACTGAGGGACTGCCTTCGGCAGGGACATGAAAGCAACAACTCCTCACCAACCTCAGAGATGACGACGAAACAACGGCAGAGGACAAGCACAATTACTCCTTTTCCCTCAAGTACCTTTCGACAAAAGGAGTGAGGGACTCCTGATGGAGTATATGGCCCGGGAACCCCCGGCCCACAGACTCCTACTATTCCAAACAAGACCCAACAGGCCCAGACGGTCCAACAGGCCCAAATCACAGTGCCCAAAGTACCAAGCAGCCCACAATGCGCACCAGGGATGCCTTCGGCCCCCTGGCCGAGGGCTCTAACTCCCACAGGAGGGCCAAAACAGGAGAACAAGATGACTGGGGAAAACGGCGAAAATCACTAGCCCTCGGCACCTGGAGCCCTCGGCACCAAGAGGGTCCCCAGTACTCAGAGCCCTCGGTTAGTCCTCTACAGCCGAGGGCACCTTTCCCGACATAATATCCGCACCACATGCGTACAGATCACCGTACCCTGTACAAACGTCCCATCCAACAGCCGCATTAAATGCGGCCAAATGCGGCTGCCAGCGCCAACCAGTTGAGGTGACCTCTCGGCCAATGGGCGCTTGACACGTGTCCCTGTCCGACATTTATTGCTACTATAAATAGCACCTCATTTCCCCATTTGTAACCAAGTCATAACACGCTGAAAACGCTCCACACTTTATAATATACTTTGTCTCTCTATATTTACTTGCTCTGACTTCTCTCTTATTACTCCCCGTAATAACCCCTCGGATAAGCTACCCCCGGGTACACTATCCATCAGATTTATAATTATATAATTTTATAGAAGTATTTTAATTCATACAAATATTGAAAATGTTTTTTAGAATGGAAATTTATGTTTTGATGAATACTTAAGCTGTTGAGGATTTGACATATTATTTGTACGTATCTTTCAATTTTTTTTGCTCATCCCACCCATGGTAACACTCTGGATGCGTCCTGCCTGCTTATGAGGAAGCTACAGAAGGATTACAATTCCGAACGCAACCATGTTCAATTCAATCCAACTCAAAACCCCCTTTTTTATCGTCTCCAAGCAACACTCCTATCCCATTTTCTCCTCTAATCCCTTACATCCCCTATCTCCTAAACCCACATTCTTTCCTAAAAGAGCACTTCGATGGAGCATCAGATCCTTCGCTGCGGATCACGAAATCGATATGGTGAGGAACAAACAAGGGGTTTACACAGCCAAGTCCAAGAAAGTTGTGGTTTTGTGGGACTTAGACAACAAGCCGCCTAGGGGACCGCCGTACCAGGCGGCGGTTGAACTGAAGAGGGTTGCTCAGAAATTCGGGGAAGTCGTACACATTTCAGCCTACGCCAACCGCCACGCTTTCTCCTACCTCCCCCGATGGGTTGTTGACCAGCGCCGCGAACGGCGGCGTATGGATATTCTCGAGCGTAAGGGGGACTTGACCCCGCCAGAGCCCTACATATGCTCCGTCTGTGGCCGGAAATGTAAGACCAATTTAGACCTGAAGAAGCACTTCAAGCAGCTGCACGAGAGGGAGAGACAGAAGAAGCTGAATCGGATGACCTCACTGAAAGGGAAAAAGCGGCAGCGGTACAAGGAAAGGTTTATCGACGGCAACCACAAGTATGTTGAGGCTGCTAGGAGCTTGATAACCCCGAAAGTAGGGTACGGCCTTGGGTCAGATCTGAAGCGAGCCGGGGTGTTTGTGAAGACGGTGGCAGATAAGCCTCAGGCGGCGGATTTAGCATTGAAACAACAAATGCAGCAATCACTGAGCAGAGGGGTTGATTGGGTCTTCTTGGTTTCGGATGATTCTGATTTTTCTGAGATGTTGAGGATGGCTGGGCAGGCGAATTTGGGGACAGTAGTGGTAGGAGATTCGGACAGTGCATTGGGGAGGCATGCTGATTTGTGGGTTCCATGGATTAGAGTGGAAAAGGGGGATATAACTGAGAATGATTTAGTGCTAAAAAGAAAGGAGAGTTCTTGGGCGTGGAGTAGTAATGGCAAGGTTTCTGTCAGGCAGTTTGATGGTGGGGAGGAAGAAGTTGGGGATGGTCTTGTTGAAAGAAGGCAGCTTAGTGACTTGCAAAGTTCAGCTTTTTCTGAAGCAGACAATTTAGATGTTTGGGAAGAGTGTAGTGATGACTCAATATATGGTTCTGATGATGATGATGATGATGATGATGAAGACTTCATCTAGTTTCGTCCCTAAGTTAGTGGAACAACCTCTTTGAAAAAGACTAAACTTTGATGCGATTCTACTCATAACTGAAATTTGGTCCTAAAGTGTGAGTGCACCCCTCATGCTTGATCAAGACCCTGGACAAAATTGTAACAACATATATTAGCTCAAAACAACAATTAGATTTTGGATGGTCCATGCTGAATGCTGATGCTTACTTCTTGACAAGTTGGAGAGACTCCAGGTAGATAATTGTTTTCTGTAAATCTGTTTCTAAGATGGATCTGTGCTATGACTCAAGAAATCATCGATTCAAGTTTGATTTTGGGTATCTTTCTCATTTGGAAAAGACTATGCAATGTTTGCATCAATATGATTGTTCTGCGCACCTCTTAGTTTAATCATATGATGTGCATGTTTGGTTTACCTTCATTACATGTATGTGCTATATGTTCGGGAATAATATAAAACTAGTCATACATGTGCATTTTGTCTAAGTTTTAGTCCTATTTAGAGTAATTTCTGTTGATGTATTTAGAACATACATGCATGTAACTTGACAATATCTTTTATATTTTCATGAATCTGTTGAGAAGAGTGAACCTCTGGTCTTGGCACAAGTTCCTAAGATACTTATCCATTTCCTCCCTTTCAATTATGTAGTACTTTTTTATACATTTCGATTTACAAAATACTCCGTATAATTTGACAGTTCGTGGTGTAACTTGAAAGCACCGAGGCTGTAGAAGTGCAAATGTACAAAGAGGGGAGAGAGGGCAATTCGTTGCGAAAACAAATTTGCAAATGAAACACGCTGTTTACTCTAATTGAATATTTTGTACTCTAATTAAGTGCACTCTAATTTGTTTATAAAATGAAACGCGCTTTTTTAATTGAATATTTGGATATTTTTGCACTCTAATTAATTTGAATAACGGACTTCATTCATCAATGTAATCAATCTAAGGACAAATAACATTACATGTTAATTAATACAAGTTGCCAGTTGAATTAATTTATATCATTTTTTGCTTTTTCTATACATAAGTCTACACTCCACTCGTGTAGTTGTGCACTTCTACTCATGTTGGTGCACTTTATATAACAAAAACAACTTAAAGTAAAAATAAGCATAAATATACAAGAGTGTAAACTAACAACAATAATAAAAAAGCCTTTTGTACACACTCTTATACACACTTTTGTACACACCTATGTTTGTGAAAGTTTTTTTTTGTCTATGAACATCGACTCACAGACTATATTTTGCACAAACAAAATATTATCTGTGAACCGGATTCACAGACAAACAAAAGCTTCACAAACATGATGTGTATAAGGTGTGTACAAGGGTGTGTACGTACATCAATCAGTTTTGCAACTATAATGTGCATTTCAAATGTGTACATAAGTGCCACATTATATAAAACTTTCTAAAGTTCTACATACATCCTTTTTACAAAATGAAATGCACTTTTACTAATATATCACATTTTCTACAATTTACATCGACATCTTTTACAAGATCAAATGTAC